CGTGGAGAGGGCAAACTGACAATCTGAAAGAGAGGAAAATGCAGATACCATGAACCAAAAGGTCCAATGAGACATGAACACGACTCACACTAAAACGGACTGGCTAGTTACCAAGATCGTTACACTATATATATCTTTCGGATCATTATTTCTTGTAGAGAACTCCCACCTATAGGATTTCCATCACACCTTCGTCGCCCATTTGAGTTGTTTACCGTTGTCTATTAAGAGTTTAGTGGGTACCTGATAATAGTGGCACCTCTGACTCGGAGGGCTGTCGGCCCGTTTAGAGTATCCACCGTTCTTTGGTTTCCATCAGGCGCTCAAATCCCACCTGTGGCTCCAAGAAGCCGTTTAGATGCAACAGCGGGCACACCCCGGTAAACCGATTGACAGGTGAGGAAAACCAGATTGAAGGTATTTGAGAGCTCAACTCCGGGCGAGCCGATGTCTAATGTACGCGTTGGGTGGATCAAGTCGTTTTCACAACAGTCAAGGCAATCAGTCCGTACTCATAAGCGATGCATGGACACCTGTTCAGCTAGAAACTCAATGACGTATGAGCTCCTCCCAAGAGGGCCACCGGCAACTATGCACTACTTTCGTGCTGCCTTTCAGTTAGCATTGGGATGTGCAAGAACTAGAGATGCTACCTCGACCCAAAGCCAGGTGACGCTGGGGACATTTCCTGTACCTAACTCCCAAGAAAGTTCATGAATATTCACTTAACTTGTCTCGCTGATCATGCTACGGCATTCCCCGAAGCGACACGCCCTTTACCCCTCCAGTGACAAATATGCGCACTGGATACCTTAAACTACGCAGATCTTTTTACATCGGAAGCTGGAACGCAAGAACAGTACTAGATGCCGGGAGTCAGGTGCTGGCAATAGGTGCGTTGCTTGACTATCAGCTAGATATTACAGGCCTATCAGAAGCCAGACTGGTGGGCTCCGGCTCCCAAAATACCAAAATCCCTAGTATTGATAGTCAATATTGGCTATATCACAGCGGCAACGAAACGTCAACACGGAGTGGCACTTGCTTTAATTCATCAGGGTAATAGTGCTTTACTTTCCTGTAAACCGGTATCCTCTAGGATCGCAGGATCGCGATTCAAGGGCCATCTAGTAAACCTCACAGTAATCGCTGTCTACGCCCCGACTCTCCTATCTGACAATGAGGATGAGTTCCACTGCAGCCTTCAATCTCTTGTTAATGAAGTACTCAAATGGGATGTACTTTCTATAGCAAGGGACTAGAACGCTCGAATTGGCCCGCAAGAAGAGGCCACGAAACACATCTTATGGAGGTTTGGCCTGAACTAGCGCTGCGAGAATGGCGACATACTACTCAACTTATCCGATTATAATCGACTGTTTATTACCACCACGCGATTTCAGCGTCCAAAAAGCATCTGACGTGGTACTCCAACGACGGACGAACAGCACATCTCATCCGTTCACGATAGGTTTCTTTGATTGAAGGCTGGGTCCTGTCACAGGGCTGAATGCGGAAAGAAAAGCTTATCTGGTCACCAGCCATTTCGCGTCAAAGTTAGGCCCCATTTAACAATTCACAGGAGGACCGTCCTCTTGAAGCTCTTAAATGTGCTTCTACTGGAGAACGGCGAGAAATGCCAGGCACTGATGGACACGATAGCTGCACAACCGTCGAACGATCCCCTCGGTAGGTAAGAAAGCACAGAGAGTTCACCCCGAACTGTGCAAACAAAAGTGGATTTTCCACACCCTGAGGTTACCATGGCCAGAAGGTATATCGTAATCAATCGTTCAGAAAGTCAAACGATGTATGAATGGTTCTGTTATCTAATCATTTTCATCAGGTGATTACAACTCTGCAACCTCTCTTCGACCTGAATCCATTTCATGATTGTTGAATTTTGTTGCCACTCTTTGTTTGCATTTTAATGCAGCAGTTTGGCAACGAATAATCGAAGAGAATTCTTCGCTTCACTTATCTCTTCGAAGAAGAACCGAATTAGGAGGGCAGTTTTATATACTTTGTCTGTGTGTGATCGCACATGATTGGTTACAGCCAAGGTTGACTACACACGCTTCTGGATACGGTGAGTTTGTTGTGATGACCAGTGATACCTCGAGCATCCTTGGTCTATGTTTGCTCCGCTCACAAAACGAAACAGACCCCGTTATTAGGGTCTATGTTGTAACCGCTTTCAGCCAAGTGGTGTGCGATGGCCGTGGTTTATCTATCTGGTGAAGTCAGAATAGGTGGGAGAGACTGAATCATTATTGATTCACGTACGTACTTTGTCCATTCGGGCTCAGTAACTGGTCGGTCCAACCAATGTATGCTTCCTTGCACCTTCAGGAAAAAGCGATGATACAATGAGATTTCTGACTCGACTGGTTGACCATCTTTGATTAGGGGCGTACGCAGCTGCCTTGTGTTCGAATGTAAACGGCGTACAGCGGTGTAGTATGTTCTTAGTAAAGCATTTTTGTGCTTTGTATGACATGGCGCATTGTCGACTCCTTACCAGTTCCCCTTGATGGGTATTCAGGTCCTGCGGCGATGTGTGCCTTTAAGATTGTAGAATAAGTTTGCAATTCTCACTGTTATCACTTGGCTAATTCGTAGGAGTTGGGTTGTACCCAATTTATGGTTAGTGTCCTGTTGTGACGTTGACGATAGCCAAATTTGGTAAACTAATCACTACGGGACCCCACTGCGAAGACAACAGGTTTATCATATGAATTCGGCGCGTGATACAATTAGGGTTTAACGGTGTAATTCCTTGCTGTTTCCATCTACCTTTTTGTCCGGTTAGAAAAAGGAACGATTTCCACTCTATCCAACCTATCTGCTACGCATGTCATCAGATAGGTTGCCACGGTGGGCGATGTCTGCCGAGCAAGTAGCGGTTAGAAAAAGATCAAGGGCGGTCAAACTAAGACATGGTATGAGGGTATGAAAACCCTGACCAGGAGACTGGCTCAAATAGGTCCCGTTAGGCTCCCTGGCTGGGAACCCTGGGATCATGCTCATCGATGGTTAGAGACACTGAGCGATATGGCAGGGTGTCGCAAATAGCAGCGCTCATGCATTTCCTCATTAATCTTGTAACTTCAGTCTATGTAAATGCGCTATCTTCCGCTTGAATCTGCTGTCAACATTCTAATCATCGTTCTGCTGTTTTATCCAAATGGGTAACCAAAAGACAGCAACCACAACCGGCCTACGGAAGTGCATAGTTAATGGTTGTAAGAACTAAACTGAACTGAACTACTTCGCGGATCAGTTGGTGACTGTCCTTTTTTGCACTATCGTTTAACGTGGCGGTTGCAATTTCCCTTTTCTCATTTTTCCGGCTGTTTGATTCAGGTTGATCATAAGAAAACTCTACTGAATTTGGAACAGACCATCTTACGATGTGGAGCACACAAAGAATGCAGCAATATCAAACAGATTGCTGGTGAGTTGGATCCCCTTTCAACTAAGTGCATTGATACATCACACCAATATCCTGTTTAGTATCTTAGGGCTGATTTCGTCAACCATTGCGATGCTTCTGTGGGAGTATTTTGTGTGTTAGATCCTCGTAATACCAGGAAACTCCTTACCGTAGTTGTTTGTTGCTAGCCTTATACAATTGATTAAATATCGTTTCTCTGATGAACTGAATTTATCCACAAATGCTGAAAATAACGCCTCAGCTGCTACTGAGGCGTTTGCAAACAAAATATCTAAGTCGGTAAACAGTTGAGAATAAAGTTTTATCTAATGTGGTTTGTTTTCAAGTAACGCTTGCCGTACTATACATATCCTCCTTAAGTATGTACTTATGTATTTTTTACATACTGCTTATATGAACGTACTTTGTCGTCTGAGTTTATCGGAATGCATTTTTGCCCAAATTCCATTCACAGACGGAGTTGATTTCTACTTTGGAACACGCTCGCAGGCGGTTTCTTTCGTGAATTTCTTATGCAAACACGCACCATGCAGGTTGGTTCAGCGTTTCTCGGGGAATTCAACCTATATTGACAGAATATCTTGCAGTTAAAGCTCATTCCAAACTGTTTCATGGTTGTTCACTCATCACAACCAACGTTTTCGCTGTCGTGCCATATTTAAATCTTGCTAAAACCTTGCAATAGCCTTAAACTCAGGGACCCAAACCTTTGTTATTCTGATCGCTCTTCGTGAAATAAAGCAACATTTAACTTGCTTTGTAGCGGCTTTTACTCATTTGCAATTTGTAAATTGAAATCGCTTCACTTTTGAAGATATATTTATGTATATTTATTTACGTTTCTTTTATAGGTCTCGTCATCATCAATGCATCACGGTCTTTAGTACACCACACTATTCAATACTGTCACCTTTCCTGTGTGTCTGCTTCTTTACCTAACTTCGATTGGCTCCCTGTGCAAGATAATTTAGCTTCATGAAGTGTCATGGATGTTTGGCGCAGGAGATACTTGAGCATGGTTCGACTTTTTCAAAGGCACATCTCCAGCTTTTACACAATCAAGCATATACCGTCAGAAACTAAAATGTTGGTGCTCCCGAGGAAACTAATTGCCATTTAATAGACATAGGGTCACCCTAGGGATCCATCCATCTCTGCTACCTGGGTAGTTTTCTTTCGTGACCCTGGGATCAAACGGTAATTGTCTTTCGCGTATCTAACGCTTTCTTACCGGAGTTTTAAGATCCCAGTTACTATTGACCTGTTGTAGTCTATTTGCCGAGCTGTTTACCGGTTTCTGGTCTCAACTCCTTGGAGTTATAGATGAGAGTTTGACGATTCATGCAGACCAAAGATACATTGATCTACCACCTTGCGGTTCCTATTCTGGTACAGGGGTATCCCCTGTACGCCGCTTGTTGTTCAAAATTTTTGTTTATAAATGCGGGATACATTTACATCAATGGACAAAGTATAGAAAATCGGTTCTCGTAGCCCGGGTGAACTGAATTCTATTTTGCCTGTTCGCCGAGCTTGGCAATTTGTTTGCAAACGTTTCATCACCAGCCGAGGTAACATCATCAGTGCTTGTGAAGTCGCCACATCATCTCGGCTGGTGATGAAACGTTTGCAAACAAATTGCCAAGCCCGGCGAACAGACGAAATAGAACATTTACATCGATTTTGAGTTTTTTTTTACATTTACGTTATCCATCGATACTGTTGCCCTACGCTTAAACTCCCATTACATCAGGCTTTATGGTAGTGATGTGATATTAAAAGCTGCGACCACTAGAGCGACTAATGCCTACTGCTTTTAGCAGGGACACGGTTTAAATAGACTTCCAAGACGACCGTTTTACCAGCGTTAGCAAAGCAGACCGCTTGGTTGCTGCCTGTCTTTCTTGGCTAAATATCAGGTACTCATGCTTACGTTATTAATCTCTTCCGTTCAGATATTATCGTACATCCATACCAAGTTCTTCGTTTTGTGGTATAGAACATTTTCACTAACCTCTTTGTTTTGCTCACTCTCTCTCTCCCCGAGGGGTTTTTTACGATTTGTAGATATCAGACATCACAACACTTGAAATCACATGATGTTCATAACAATACGTACAACTACAAGTTCACCTTTTCCGTTGAAATCGCTGGAGTCTGTAAGGTGAGTTATGTCATGCATTCACATCTTCATCCCGGTGCTTTACCACTGTTTGTTTCACCACCACCACCACCATAGCAATCACTTATCTTTTTTGTGGATTACAGTTTTGATGCACACAACACTTATCTCACTGGAATACTGCGCAGTTCACCATCCCATGCCTTCAACTTAGGTTGCTATGTTGCTATGTTTCAACATCAAGTGATGTGTGATGAATACCATCCTTTTATGGTGCCTTCTTCCGTTTCATTTCGACAGAACGATATTATTTGTCTTTCAAAAGCGCAA